TTAAAAAGAAAAATTAAAGTTTCATTGAGTTTTGTGAATACTGAGAAAGAAAAATTTTATACCATTTACAACAATCAACATAAAAAGTACTCATTCAAAATTTAATTCTGTTTTATCACTACTTTTAAATAAGTATTATGGTAAAATTACATATTAGAATTTTTTTTTAAATTGGCATTTTTTACCATAATTTAAGACGCAATGGATGGTCATGAAATTTGAAACATTAGCTTTAACGCGAAAAAGAAGACTCTTAAATAGTTTTTTATTTTTATCTTTAATGTTAAAAATCAAAATTTCAGCTATGTATATGTTGTATACTTCATAGTACTAATTATAAAAACGAAGACGTTTAACGGTGCAATAGTTAAAATAATTTCAAAAGTTGGTCAAAACTAAGATGGAACACAAATGTTTTTTGGAACTATATGTTTACATAGATAAAAATTGAAGAAGTATAAATTTGAAAATTTATAAACATGAAATTTTAAAAAATAGAGAAACAAATTGAATAAATTTTTGTCATGAACTTTCCTTTAAACTATGAAATCATGTCACGTAATATAAGTACTAAATCCTATTCAAAACCAAGTTTTTTAAAAAATAAAATAAAAAATTGTCGTGTAAGGGACATTTTTAATTTCGTGTAATTAAAGTATTTTTTTTTATCGAATTGAATTTTCAATTCACTTATTTAAATATTCAACATGAACTCCAAAAAAAAATTTTTAGCATTACTCGAAAATCTCTAACTGAGAAAGTTCATTTTTAAGATTTTCAATTTTGTCCTCGGTCCTCTTATAGATATTTTGACAATACATGTTTCATTTTTTTAATTTTTTTGTTTATTTTTGAGGCAAGAAATGATTTATTCACTATCACGCGTCGCTAATATTGAATTTTTGAAATTTGAACAGTAAAAAGCCCGAGTTCTGATCAAAGGGATAGCGCGTTCCTATTATCTTTTCTTTTATTCAAATTGTACTTAAATATAACCATGACACAAATTGCAAGATACAACTTAAATACTCTATTGTTTGAAAAAATTATTTTTAAAATTTTAAACGCTTTATTTTTGTATATTTATGAACGAAATGATTAACCACATACGCAGAGTTCGGCACGTCTTTTAAATAAAATTATAGTCAAATCAAAAAAATTATTTTTAGTTATTGGAAACGAAAGTTATCGTGAGATGTAGAAGCAACTTTATTTTTGTAATGTTTTCTTTTGTCAGAAATACAATTTTGTTACTCATTGAAATAAATAAAGAATATATTTAAGACAAAAAGCTAATGACTTTTTCAAAAGTATATGCAAACGTTTATAAGAAAGAATCTTACATAAATAAAATATTCTTATTTTTAATTCATTATTCGATAAATGTGTTTTGGTTTTCAAAGGAACTTTCTATTTCAATGCGAGATTTGAATAGAAAAATGTATTTCTTTAACACGCCTAAAAATCATTTAAATAAGGTTTGATGTATTTCTAATTAAAATTTAGAAAATTACAAACTAAATTTAAAAAACGGTGTATTTTCTTGGCAATACTTGAAGTTTCTACACTTTTTAAATTATAAATGCTTTAGGCTTGGATATTTCAAATTTAATTATTACATTTCAAGGCTAAATTTTGAAATTATTAGTTCAGAGTTTTTTATTTATTGCTTTTTAAATATCTGTATTTATTGTGTAATGAAACATGGTATTAAAGCATTGACACTGAAGTTTTCTTTTATATTGTAGAGTAAGGGAAGAGGTTAAAACTTATAAAGAAATGGCTTTTTTTAAAGCGCATTATTTTATTACACATGAATCCTTTTTTGTTTCGTTTGCTCTGTAGTCTCTTAAAATAAGGATTAGACAACGCGAGGAATATAAGATTAATTTTTAAATAAAAAAAAATGCAAAATGAATTTGGCAAAAATTGTCAGTTTTTTTACAAATTTCGACGGAAAATAAAACAAGAAATTGTTCAACCAGTTTGTTTGTCGGTTTAATTTCAAGACACAAATGTAAAGAACATTTATGCAATGTTTTAAGTAACTAACTGATTCTAAAATGACGTATTTGAAAATCGAGAAAATGACTCAAGAAACACTGTATTAATCAATTTCAAGAGTACATTCAACAATTTAATTTTTTAATGCATTTGTAATTTTACTTTTCAAATTAAAAAATAAAGACGTTGAACTTACTGCTTTTCCATTTGAGACTTTATCGTGTGCGATGGAGAAATGGACATAACTAACAGAAGCACTTATTGAGTTATGATACTAAACACACTGATAGTGAATGATAAGTAAATCTATCGGTAAATAGATCTTTAATTTATCACAACTTCTCTAAATGATACAAAAATAGAGTTTAAATTGATCACGGACATCTTGGATCACGCAAGCATCAGAAGCATTAGTTGATGTTTAACAATAACGACGTGAGTGCGTTTCATATACTTTTATAAAGAAATAAATCCATTTTGATTTCGGAGACTAAATTTACTCCGGGTTGTAATACGCTTTCTTTACATAATTTTTGAGTTATTATTTTTTTTAAATGTTTCCACAAGATCTCCCACCTTCATTACGAATCATACAGCACATCATATATAGATAGATAAAAAACTATTCTTTTTATATAATTTTTGTGTTATTTTTTTAAATGCCATGCTATTTTGACTAAGATCTCCCATCTTTATTACGAATTATACAACGCATTATTAGGCAGAGAAAAAATGTTTTTTTTAACAGAATTTTTGTACTAATTTTTTGAATGTAATGCTGTTTTGTTTTAACTCTCCCATCTTTATTACGAATCATATAACAGACCATTATTAGAGAGATCAAAGTTTAAAGTAGCAAAAAGTAAAGTTACAATAGTACCAAAAACGCTTACTATTAAAGTTTTTTCGAAAAAAGTTTGATCACATGACACATAAACTGCATACATTTCTTTTTTTTTTTAATTTAATTTGTTTTCGTGTTTAAATGGATGAAAAATTGCATTAAAAATTTCAATCAGCTAGATCAGCTAGAGCTCTACTGAAGTTGACAAAACCAGCATCAATCGTTTCTTGACGAATATAAACAAAATTTTTTGTGAAATTATCACGAAAATAGTTTATCGCCTTCTTAAATTTTGTCCATTCCATCCTAGATAGAAAGTTATAAGTGTTTGAAGTTGGTGTTTGTTTGAAGGTAGTCGGAGGTGAAGTGATATGCTTTTCGTTTTTAGCGTAACAAATGTTGATTCATTTTTTCATTTTCTTTGCACATTCGAAAAACGTAAATTTTAAATTTTTTATTTGATTTTATTTTTTAATCTGGTTACTGGAATTTTGTTAAGGTCAAAAAATGCCAATTGCTTTAAAAGGATAAGTTGTTTTTGTTGCGATTAAAAAGTGATTGAAACTTCCATTTTCTTTAATTACAAAGGTACGCTTTAAATCATCTACGCTTTAAATCATCTAGCTATTCAGGGACATGTTAAATTTTAATTGATGGTAAATTTTGTCTGATGATAATATAGTGATAAATTATATCTGTAGTTGTTAGGAACCACCGAAACACTTATTGAAGTCAGACAAAATATCAGAAAAATAGCCAAAAACTGCAAGCAATTTGTGGGAAAAACACTGTGCAAATCAGCAAAGCCGTCCAAGAAAGCTTATTCTGCAACAATCTGTTTCGACCATGGATTTTCATATTTCCCACATTGAATGATTTACACGACGACAGAATTTTTTCCTATAATGGCTGGTACTGAAATATTCCGTTTCAAAAGTTTTGTTAGTTTAACGTTACCCGGTGGACACCTGTAGACTTCAGTCCAGTAATAGAGACATACAACTTTATTCAGGCCACAAATACCCGTCCATAGTTTGGGCTGCATTCATGCATCAGACAGACAGGACATGGCAGGGCAGCCTGGGCAGGACAGACACAGAGATATTTCTTCTAGTGAGATACGATCTGCTGTTATTGCCTTTGCCATCAGGCACCCTAACCACTCGGCTACCAGGAAAGCTCGCCAGAAAATCTCAATTGTTTATGAAACACCCGATTAAAATTTGCAAACTGCAGAAAAAGCCCGAACCAAATTGGCTCTTCCGTTCTCGGGTTAGAGTATATATATATATATACAAGCTCTTATGGAAAAGTAGCAAATAAGGTAGTGCATTGCTCTGATTGCAGTAGTGCTCTGATGGTGCATTCTAAATTTGTAGATAGAAATTTGATTAAAACAAGGATATTTCAGCTCTCGTAAATTAAGGTATATTTACATTTCATGGGAGAGCAATCAAAATATTGCTCTTATTTTTAATTTATTATATTTCACTTGAAGTTCTTCTTACTCAGATTATTATTATTTATTCTTTTGAATTAATTTATAAAAGATTTAAGTTCACATCCAAGACTAACAACATTCCTTTTTTTTCTCCATTTACACATATAAACAAAACACAGGGTGTTCCACAACGACTATTCTGATTATGTAATCTTAAAATCATTGAAGGAAATGAAGACTAAAAGTATAAGTAATGGATGCCACAAATTGATAACTAAACGAGGATAAAATCAATCGAAATTTGTCAAATCATGATCGAGGAAGGTGGATAGAGGAAACAGATATTTCGAAAGACGATTATTAGAGTCACATTTAATTTTCAACCAAAAATTAAGCAAGTTTTGATGTTTTTTAATAACCGCCTTCTACCTCCGTCGAAATATGATTTGTCAGATTTCGATCGCGAGTTTGTTTCTTCCTCATTCAAATGTTAATTCACGATTCCCAATGCTAATACTTTGTGTCTTAATCTCTGAAAAGGGTTTTAAAAATAAGTATTACGAGAAACACTCCGTATGCACTTTATAGAACACTCCGCATAAAAGAAATTTCTTCGACAGAAATCTTTGGCTGTCTGAGCCTTGAGTTGGTACACATGTCCATTTAATACATTTTTTGAAAAAAATTATAGCTTATTTTAAAATTTTCTAGGTGGCAGAAGTTATTGGTGCTATGAGTGTGATTCTTATTCTGACTCACGGTGCAAAGACCCTTTCAACTGGACGGCTCAGCCCAGTGAACTGCCAGCTCAAAAACAATGCGAAGGTTGCTGTGTAAAAATAGTCACAAATGCCAGCAAAAGTAAGTATACAAAATTGCTAACACCATAAAAAGTACAAAGACGAAATATTAATTAGCAATCTGCTGTTCTTTCGTGGTACGTTTTAATTACTGTTAAGACATTTAGTTATAATTCTTTTATTTAATGAAGTTAGTTACGACATACGGGAAACAGTCTGTTCTTGGTTGAAACCCAATATTTACCAAAAAGAAGCAAACAAAATTTTTTCCCCTTCCTCATAAGCTTAACATAGTGGAATCTAAAATGTAAAGGTATTTAATTTCCTTACTCTATAAATTAACCGTATCTATTCTAAGTATATGTTGTATGCAAAACTAATGCTAAAAAGCAGCATATATTGTGAATTAATTTTCAAAAATTATGTGAGTTATACATAACACCTTTATCGTATTGTTACGAATTTGTATATATGTGTAGAATTTTGAGAATATTCTATGTTATGAGACTACATATCTCATATAAATTCTAAATACACAGTTTAATTCGTAAATTTACAAGAAAGTCTTGTAATTCTAACGTAATTTAGAGAGAAAATAACCACTACAATTTCATATGGGAGACTTGGTTTGGCGACATTTTTACTGACTTAGTGATAATCGTGGCGAAGTTTGGCCACTATTTTGGCAACAAAATGAGTGTTTTGGAAAATTTGAGTTTCAATGCTTTAGGGACCAATATTTTTGGAGTTATACGAGAATAGCTTAGAATAGTGTCGAAAGTTCAGGGGTTTCGTCTATAAGTCTATATGAATAGAAATGAGCCTTGCTAGAGCACTAAGTGCCTCGTGAACACACTTTATCCTGTAACCCAGTGTTCCCCAACCTTTTCATCACTGCGACCCCGTGAACGTTTGATAATTTTACCCGCTAGAATAAAATACAGTTACACCAAGAAATAAATGTAAAGTGATTTAACATTTTAACTTACTAGAACATTAAATCAATGAGAACCCTGAGCTTGTTTCCTTGCAATAAGACGGTTGCATCTGGGGATAATCGGAGACAATGACACCAGAAGTGTGTTGCTTGTGTCCAGTTTATTTCAATGTAAATTTCGCGCAGTGCTTTCGTGTTTTATTTATGATATTTACAGTTACGATGATTGAATTTTTAATTAAAATTAATTAAAAGAGAAAATAGCTGCGGCGATTTTCTTTTCTTTTTTTTTCACTTTTTGAAACATTAAAAAATTTATGTCACTAACTTCGAGGGCCCTTTTTTTTCAAATAAATAAAATTTTAATGGAACACAGATATTTTTAATTTGGGGTACAAGCCTAGAAATTTAAATTCAGTTTCAATAAAATGGGCTGCCCTGTACCATTTGATCCACGGACCGGTACTGGTTCGTGGATCGGGGTATGGGAGCACTGCTCTAAGCCACCTCCAGCACTGGCTTTCAGAAAACATTAATAACAGAAAAAATAATTGCGTGAAGTTAGATTTAGATGATATCCAATTAGATCATTTAAGCATTTAAAAAACTAGTGCAAAATATTGATGAAAAGTCGCTGAATTTTGAAATTGAATAGAAAATCATTGAAAAATTCCCTTTAGCAAATTTCATTTAATATTTTTGGAATCCTTTTCAAAAATGAGTAAAACACTTGCACATTCGAAAGTTTAAAATTAATATTTAAGAAAGAAAAAAACAGTTACAAAATCTTGACTATTCGCTAACGAGAAATGATTTTAAAATCATCAAATTCAGTTTGATAGTGGGAGAAAATTTAAATTTTGTGAAATGAGACGTTAAGAAATACCTTCAAGCTTTATTTGGCAATCAAAATGGTTCTTATCTTTTTGAACCTGTTTTGCACAATAATTATTAACCCAATTTTGTTATTGCAATTGTTCTTTCTCCAGCTTAATCTTTCAGAAATCTCACCCTTCATACTAATTACATACGCAATTGTTAAAAGGGTATTTTAGGAAAATAATTATTAAAATCATAATACAGTTAGCTTATAGCTAATAATTACAACTAATTCATACATTTTTTTAATTAAAAAGTACGCCCTCAGAATTGAAAATACAAAACGAGATGTCTCAGCGCTTTCACATACGCGCGCCTGTTGGGAAGATTAATTATATATTTGAGTTCAATAATTGGCATTTTTTGTCCTCTTTGACGAGGATTCTAAAAATATACATTACCAGCCGTTATTACGGAATAACCATAGGTTTACAGAATATTTAAAACTATTAAAACGAGGAAATGTTTTATGATGATGCATTTTGGGCAGTATTAGGTAACTATACGAACTAAATACGCTTTTGTCGATTATGAATTTTTAGAAGTATAATTCTTAAAATCATATTTAATTACGCTTAATGTGGGCAGTAAAAATTAATATAGTATTTTCTGGCTGTAAAATTAATATATAGGTAAGACGTTCTCATAATTCCTCTCTAGTGTTCTCATACATGTGAGTCTGTTTAAAGGTAATAGATTTGTGAGCTGTAATTAGCAGTTTTTTTTTAAACCTTATTTTCAACGAGGATTCTATAAATTTAAATTAACGGTGATGATTTCTACATTAGTATACCAAATGGATATCTTTTTGTCAGATGTGAAAATTTTAGGGTATGGTTATCAAAATTATATTGAATTTAGGTTAAAGTTGGCAGTCAAAATTAAGTTATATATTTAAGTCTGCAGAATTAAATATAAAAAAAACAAGATTCCTTTCTAGTACTTCCACATGCACGCGCCTGCCGGATGGATAATTATAAATTGTAGCCCTACTTTTGTAGAGGATTCTAAAAATATATATTGATGGTGGTATTTACTAGATTTCTTTATCAACTGGATACGCTTTTGTCAAACGTGAATTTTTAAAGGTATAATTATTAAAATCATATTGAGTTAAGCTTAAGGCTGACAATTTAAATTAATTTAAATATTTTTAAATTAAAAAGTAGATCGGTAGGTTGGTATTTAATTAACGTCGCACTAGATCTGCACAATGGGCTATTTACGGTAGAATTGTTTAACGAGAACCAATACCACGCAACCTCGGTCCATACGCAGGTTGATCAAAGTGGTCACCCACCCACTTACTGACCGAAGCCAGTGACGCTTAACTTCGGTGTTCTACTGGAAACCTTGTCTTTACGATCACTTTATTTCACTGCGGGATCAAATTAAAATGTTAATACTGTGTGTAGGAATGATACAAGGACCATACACTTACACATTTGATATTAATGCATTTATGGCATTTTATATGGTTTTTTAATTAAGTATTTTTCTTTCAGCTAATGAAAAAGTACGTCGAACATGTACAAAGGACATAGATATAAATTTATTTATGGTTGATCACGTCTGTATGTATGAGGGTCACAAGATAGGTCATATGTGCTTCTGTGAAGGAGATCAGTGCAATACGGGACCAAGTATTAAGTCGTCACCAATGATAATGATTGTTGAATTGGTTATTGTTTGCTTATTCACATTCAGAGTCAGAATGACTACTTAGCTATGATGTTATGTAAAGAAGTTTTTTAATGATTTTATCAGAGTGTACAATTTTCCGGCAGTGCTGAGTTGATTCAAATGTTTTCGATCGGTGTCATGTAATTTGAAAAATAATTTAACTTCTATTACTATCAATTAATTAAGAATATAATTAAATAAATCTGCGAAAAATTAAAAGCGCAAAAGAATAAAAACAAATGCGTTAAAATGATTTTTATTAAATGAGTAGAATTTACGTTTAAAATACCTATTGTTTCATGTTTAATTTTATTTTTTAGTTTATTTTAGGAAATGTTTTAATTTTCTTTTAAAGATTTGCATATAATTTTTTTTTTATAAGAATGTTTAAAAAAATGTTTTTAGCAATGCAATGAACTTCAATAGTTTTATTTATTATTGTTTAAGAAAGAGGTTCTTATTTTTATTTAAAGTTATTTGTAGTTCTCCTTAGAAAGTTGCATGTAATTTGTTTTAAGAGGTACTGTGAAATATTATTTGACCCTTATCATATCAAATTGGATGAAGTATATTTAAAAATTATTCGATCTAAAAGCTATTTTTTGCGCAATATTTGTCATTTGATAGTAAGTAGTCTGAAAAGGATTGTGGAAATATTCCGGAATAGTTTGCCAAGAAATGCGATACCAAATGTCTAGGAATGATGTAAGAGAAGTTCGATTTCAAAAATGTACTATATATATATCAACTTTGCTATACATATTTTTATGATACAATTTTTATAACTCTCTCTTTTTCTCTTTGCTTCTTCAACTTTAAAATTCAGATCTCTAGTTATCTTAGAGTTGTTGTACAGAAATAATTATCAAACCAAACATTAATTTAAATTGCGATATAATTTCTGTATTTGTGCCTTGTTTCCTGAATAAAAGTGCGAAGTTGGGGAGTTTGATTAAAATATTTTATTGCAATTTTATTTTTATATTTTAAATGCACCGAGGGCAAGGTTTTTATAATACATACAGATGCTACAGTACTGTTTTTTTTTTAAATACAAATATTTTTTTGCCTAAAATTTTTCAGCTTCTGATAAATGCAGATATAAAGTGCCATTTAAGACAATTCCTTTTAAATTAAAATAATGAATATATGCCTTTTAAATTAAAATAATGAATATTTCCGTAAGTGAGCTAATGCATATATAGGCTAAGAGCATGTACAAGTTTTTATTTCAATAATTCATCCAAAATTTAAATTACCGTAAATTTTCAAACACAAGTTGATTTGTGCATATGTCCGGAAGTGGATTTACCTTTAAATTCTAAAATGTAATTTTTTAAAAACTCAAGGTTTAAAATACAGTGTGTCACGAAATTTAAGCTGATTGGTGCATAAATCAAAAATATAATTTTTCCTTAAAAAATTTAAAACGATCTCTGTGAATATAGTTTATCGAAAACTTTGCATAAAATAAAATAAAATTAAAAAAATAAAGTAAATAAATAGATAAAAAAAATTCAAACGCAAAAAAAAACGCATAGAAATTCATAAGCGTATAAGATAAGGCTCATCTATACTTCAGTTGTTCACCAAAAATTTACAATAACGTATGTTCTCAAATATAAGAAAATCTGTATTTAAGCTGAAAACCCAAAAAATTAATCTAATATTTAAAGCGTGTACTTAACATTCACATTGCCCTAAAAACGCAATTATGTGGAATTTCGCCTAATCAAATTGTTGCAAATTTAAAACGCAGAAAATAAAAGAAGACACTTTTAACTCTGTCACCCTTATCATACTGTTGGTGCATTTTCCAATTTATTGTTAATCTTCACGCAATATGTAACAAGCTTAAAATTTTTTTTTGTGCTTCTTGTTTTAGTTGAAATAAAGTTTATTAATTGGTAGATAAAGAGTTATGATTTAATATTTCTTGTAATTGGTAATCCTAAGTTTGTAATATTACTCAATGAGGAATTCTACTCACGGAAATATTAGTTTTAAACTCATTTTTATGTTAAGGTTGTAATATTACTAACAAAAGCATCAGTTTTAAACTCATTTCTATGACAAGTTTGTAATTTCTTTCAATGATTAATCCTACTTACGAATGTATCAGTTTCAAACTTATTTTTATGTTAAGTTTTTAATATTATTGAATGAGGAATTCTACTTACTGAAGTACCAGTCTTATACTCAGAATAGTGAAGACGTAAAAAGGCAATATAATTTGAATGAAATATTTCCCTAATAAAATCTATTTTTTTTTCCGTAAATTAAAACTAGACCGATATCGGTTTTTCAGTTCAGAGCAGATAAAATCCTTAGTCCTTATGCTTGTATTTTATCATTTATCTCTGCTGTTATTATTCTTTTATGAATGCTGTGTTGCTACTCCTTATATTATTTTTAGTATTCCTATAATTGTAGTATCACATAATAGTATTCTAATAAACTTAAATATTTTCTTCGATTTCTGACACAAATATGCTTTTTAAAAAGTTTCTTAAAATATAATTGTTTTTGAGAAATTGAGTTTTGATAAATAAAAATACGAATGCTTACAAAATACAATAAAAATTCGATTGAGTTTCTATAGTTTCATTATAATTTCGTTATAATACAATACTTTATTAATCTAAAACTAAACTATATTCTATTATAATAATTGAAATCAAAATATAATAGGTTTGAGAAATATATGAGCAGATATGCAGAAATGGATTTCGAAGCTCAATAAGTACTATGGAGATAAAAGTAGTCATTATTATTATAATTTATTAATTTGAAAACACAACAATATCCTATTCAATCCATTTCATTTTTATAATATATGTTTCTTTAAATAGTTCAAACTCAATGAATTTATTTTGATGTATACTTTTTCAAAAAAGAACTATAGGCTGCGTCCATAAAGCAAAATTACTTTTCAACTGCTAAAAGGAAAATTAGTCTAATGTCAACCGCGCCACTTGTTTATGAAAGAACCGAAATCCGCCACTTACTGTAGACAAGAGTGTAAGTACAAATTTAAAACATGATAAGCTGAGTATTTAAAGTTACAGTCCATTTTGCTTAACATTTTAACATCGTCCAAAGCACTAAATTATTCTTGTGCAATAGAGCTTGTCGATTCTGTATTTAAATAATTGTTACACATATATTGCTTAAAAATTGAGGCTACGTGAACAATAAACAGGCTAATTTTCAAACGAATTAAGAAATTTTTTTTTTGTAAAATGTCACGAAGTCAACTTTTTAGTTGATAAATATCCTTTACGTCCAAAACATTACGTACCTTTAAGTACACATTTAAAAATTCAGCAATGGAAAAATGATACTTGCAATTTATATTGATTTGTCTATTTTTGACCTCGTGGCCTCAATTTATGGAACAACAAAACAATCGCTTATATGATAATTAAAATCGTCAAATTCATTATAGAATTAATATATTGAGGAAAGACTGGTAAAGTGGTCACCCTAAGGTTTAATAAATTTTATAAAGCCTATTAAAATTAAAATTGATTATTTTTAGCTATAATAAAATTTCTAGTCTAGCATAAAATATAATTTACTTTTAAATCACACGCAGATTAAACACCCAGGAAAATGTAATTATAACGATTTCTAATATAGTCGGAGCAGCTTATTTCAAAAACTAAAATTAGACGTATGATGAAAATAAAGTTAAAAATTAAAAAGCTTATCTTCTTAATTTTAAATAATAGACAACACTGACGATTATTGGTGATTGTTTTGTCCATCCGCAGAATAAAAGCATTATGAATCCAAATGCACGGACTTTGTTACTTTACCTGTTTTTCCTCCATATTTAAGATAAAAAGTACAGGGTGTTCCTTAATCATTACCCTTAATACAAACTTTTAGAATCCTGGTCGAAAATGAAGAAAAATACTGTATATACTTTATAGGTTGAAAAAAAAAATTATTGAAATCTAATAATTCGCTATTGAAGAAGGCAGAACTAAAACATCAAAACCACTTTGATTGCCGAAGGAAATGAAGAGGAGTTGAAAAGTGATGTTAAAAAAAGCCTTAAAGTTGCACCAGGCAATCAAACCAGTTTAGATGCTTTAATTCCTAATAGTTTGACAGATTCCGATTTAGCCTTTTCCATTTTGATTCAATATTAGTCTAAATTTCTTAATGTGTACATTCGTTTGACTTCGTTTTTGACATCGATTTTAAAAATATGTTCTAAGTGCGGTGATAATAGAACACGTTGAGTATCCAGCTTAAGCCTTTTAAATTGTGCAAATAGATATACAAGTCTAAAAATAGAGCTCTTAGAGAATGTTTAACATGAATAATTTATTTTGGAGAATAATTTACTTTACGAATAATAGATTTAAAAATATATTAAAACATTTCATTTCCATTTGATAGGTATTAATTATTGACCTATGTTAATTAAAATATTAATTTATCCACATTTTGTTGCAAATGAATAATAAAATATTAAATAGCAATATTAATAATTAACTGTTCCAATGCAGGATTTCTTATATTAAATTTAGAAATCTTTGCTAATTTTCTATATTTAGTAAGACTGATTACAATATATTAGCAATTCGTATAATTTATTTAAAGTAATAGATTTTTATCGCTCTGTAGAATAATGTCTTCTAGATTTAGATCATTGATAATATATAAGAAGTAATCTCTTTTATAACAAAGAATAATAGACACTCAGATGGATTTAACGTCTTATATTTTATTTAGAGCATAGAAATTAATTAAAGGTTATACTGATAACTTTAGAATAAGACAAAATAAAGCTGAAACCAGCTTTTCAAAACTATTCCCAACTGTCTTTCAACATTTACTAGAATTGCTAAGCTTCAATCAAACAGTTTTCCAATTAACTGTATTGTAAGCGTCATTTATATATGATTAAAATTAGCTCATTATTACCACTGTACTTTTTTGCACTGTACATATTGTGAATACTGTACATTATTAATTATTGAAATTAATAAACTTTATTTCATCATGGATGTTGTTCAGCTTATTTTTCTTGTCAAATTATGGAGTAGTCTCTAATCTTTTTCATGTCCATTTTTCACTTTTTTGATGATATTTAGAATGCTTACATATTTGGACAGTTTTAATGTAAACAATAAATACGCATTGAAATGATCACAATGAAACATTGAAATAAACATGCAAACGTAATTTCCAATTTTTTTTAATGATTTTTAAGTTACTTGCTACAAATTAATGCAGGATTAAAAGAAAATATAGTAGAGCAGAACATAAAACATTATAGACCAGAGCTTGAATATAATAGAATAATATAATAGAATAATATAATAGTAGAAAATAGAATCGAACATATATCGTAGTAAATATAATAGAGCATGTACACCGAAGAGCCATAACATTATGACCACCCTGCTAATAATATGTAGGACCACCCTCAAAACTGCTAGCACCCACCGTGGCATTGATTCCACAAGGTGCTGATAGGTAGTCTGAGGTATCTGGTACCAAGCGCTCACCAACTGGTCCTGCAATTCCCTCACATTGCGAGGGGGTAGCGTGGCAGCACGAATTTGATTTTCCAAGTAGGACCACAAATGCTCTATTGGATTAAGGTCATGTGAATTTGGGGGCATGACTTGACTTGAAGGGACCAAGACATGACTTGAAAGACACTGGAATGTTCCTCGACGATTCGACCCTTATGACATGGTGCAGTATCCTGTTGGTAAACACCATCCCCTGCAGGAAAAAAAACTGTTGCCATGAATGGGTGAACCTGGTCTGCAACTATGTTCAAGTAGCTTACAGACGTCAGGGATTGTTCTATGAGGATTATGAGTGCTGATGTGCCCCATGAAGACATTGTTCCTGGGCGAGAAACTATGAAAACCTGGACGAGCCCATTGTTATAGATGGAGGGTGGTCATAATGTAATGGCTCTTCGGTGTATAATAGAAAATATAATAGAACAGAGGGCTTTATGGGAATGTTGTTTGCTTCTTTAGTCACAAAAATTAGTTAGAAATCAGAAATGGAATTTTAATCCAGATTTTGCTATAACACAAACAAATTGAAATAATGAAAGTCGTATTTACTGACTTTCATGTGTCCCAATGATGGTCTTACTATTCATGAGAGTCTGATTCAATGAACTTCTCTGTTTGTTCCGTTTTGAATATAATAGTTTGAGGTAAACCTAATTAAGCTTTTGGGATCCCTAAAAACCTCCTTCTGCATGGAGACGAACAAAATGTCAAAAATTTTCAATGGGATCACATTTAGCTCGAATACTAAATAGTAAATGCGTCACAAAATTTTCCTCCGTCCCGTATTTCACCTACTGATATTTTGTCGTATTCCAACGTCTTATGAGTTTAAGCTTAAATTTTTATAGTTTAAATTAACCAAATCGAAAAACCAATTGGTTTCGAATCTAGTGAAGAGTCTGGCCATCCTTGTGCTACGAATGTCATAAAAATGTGCTTTGAATCATTAGATTTCATGTAAACAGAGTCTTGTTGAAATTTTCACTTTGTTTTCTAAAGAGCTTTAATAATCAAGGAATCATATCCTTCTCTAAATGAGTTGGTGATAAGATATTTGCGATTAGAGTTTGTGATAGAATATATTTTGCTATAAATTCTGCTCAAGTTACTCGTAACCTTTTATTAGTACGTAACAAATAAATGAATATCTAAACAATTCGTGAATAAAATGAAAAGCAAAAGGATTTCAGTTAACAAAAACGATAAATTAGTGTTTATATATCTTTAACAAAAGGTATTCTAAGTATTCTCAGTCCTCTTAATTCTTTTAAAGTTCTGTTATTTTAATGAATAGTACAATTACGTTAATCACTTTTAAATAAACACTAAGTTGAATAGAAATATTCGGAATTTCTAAAATGTTTTAAGGTAAAACATCACTGTAAAACTTTCTAGATATAGAATTTATTGCTATACAACAATATAGGTCTGTATTTTATGTATGTTCATTTTAAAACATTTTCATGAAATAATAAGTTAAACTTTCAATGAATAAAATGAATTGCGATAAGTGTTGCATTGAAGAGCTTATAGAAAGTAAATATTTCTCAAGTATCGAACGGAATTTTTCCGAGATAATTTTGTTTTAGAGAAACATTTCTCAATCTCATATTAATGTAATTTCTATTTCAAATTGGATTTATTTGCTGCATTTAAAGTTCTCAACTTCTAAGACAATTTTAGCTCAATGCGTTGCCATTTCGTCAACAAACTAAAAGAAAATTCTGCGTTCAACAAAAGCTGCATTATTGACAAAAACATGATTTTAAGCTTTTAAAGAGACGGATTTAAAATTTAATTTCTGAGAATAATTTCGGAGAATACTATTGCTCATTAAAAATAAGTAAGATAAGTAGATAAAGATTAATTTATTTAGGTATTTCTGTCATCAAGGTTTGGCGCGTGGTAAAAAAGGTGTTACTCGTGGAGTAGAAAATAAAGTGCTATTTTCAAAAATTGCGTATTAAGTGTTCAAATTATTCATTTTTATTTAGTATTTTGTTCAAAACTGATGTATTTCATTAAGGCAAATAAACACAAATTAATAACGGCATTAATAATCATAAAATGCAAAATAAAATTTAATTTAAAAATTAAGCTATTTTAGTCAATAGTTTAGTTTTATTACTAATTTATTTGTCATGGGATGTGTCAGTTTGAAACAACATTAGACATTATAGCAGTTCTTCTCAAATTTAGGTTCCCTGATTTCTCAAGAATCCACTTAACCTTATATAGAACTACAACTGATAAATAATTAATCTTTTCAAATATATCATTGTAAATCAATACAACTAAAAAAATAATAATAAAATGGCAACAACAAAGCATTGATTCTCAGATATCCCTCTTATGTAGGGTGGATGAAGAAAATTACAAATTACACACATTTTTTTACAGATACATTTTTCATATCATACTTATATTATACTTATACTATCATTATATAATGATTCCAACACGAATCATACTCAAACATGAATGAAATCTTAAAAAATGTGCGTATGACACTCTTCCCCAACTTGAAAGCTTCAAGGTTCAAAATGTACATGCCATAAAATTACATGAAAATAAGTGGTCATGATGGAAATTGGTAGAAAAATTTAACAGGAAAAAAAAAATACTAGTTTGTGGTGAGCAAAATAAGTGCATACTATATAACTAGAATGACCAAAATATTTTTTTCACGTATTGTGTTGTTGAAAAACATATTTAGAAAATACATTTCATTTTATAATTTTATAACTGACTTTGAACAGCCGACCCAATTTTGAGTTTACGATTACCAATGTTCAACTCCGTAGCCTTGAACTATTGAACCCAATCCACAAAATAAGGTGACTTCTGGGTCAAAAATTGGAAAGAGTTTCCTTCGTGGAGACTTTGAGTGAAACTATCCCACATTTGCGCTGTATGGAGAGGCAAATCACGAAAACCTCAGTTATTCTGATGGCCGAACTGCAGTCGGTGCGAGCCGAGTGCTGAATTCGTTTCGACCAGCCATCCATGGATCGAACTTGGGTCACCTCATTGGGAGGCGAATGCTCTATCCCCTGAGCCACCATGACTAATGTAAATTTCATTTCATTTTATTTTATAGCTGTCGTTGAACATCTGACTCAATTTTCGGGTTTACGACAACTAATGCTCAAGTCCGAGTAACCTTGTAATTTTGAACCCAATCTAGAAGACAAGGGAACTCCTGAATCAAGTATTGGGACAAATTTGCCTTCATGGAGCCTCTTTTTTATGGAACTAACCCGCATTTGCGTTACACGGAGAAAAAAAAACCACGAAAACCTTTCACAGTTAGCTTGACTGCAGGAGGAGTTTTACCCATGTCTACAATTAGTCTACAACTAAGGATATTTTACGTCAGCACTGTGGTCAGTGTGAGCAGGAGATGCGTTCCCCATCAATCAGCCATCACTGGGATTTGAAAACGGTTCACCTCTTTAAAAAGTGCACGCTCTATCCCCTGAGCCGCTACAGCTCTAAATAATACATTCATTTTTATAACCATTATTGAACTGCAGACCCAAACTTGAGTTTAAGACTACCAATGTTCTACTCCGCAACCTTGCAATTTTGAACCCAATCCAGAAGACAAGGGAACTCTTGAATCAGTACCCTAAGAGGTATTGATTTGCTATGGGAACTTGGAGGACTTTGTGAACCCACCAGATTTAATGTGCACCAGTCACCATTTACCGTACGAGGATTTTTTGGTTAATTGGATTCGAACTCTCGTTCTCACGAACATCAGTCCAACGCCCTATCAACCCGGCTATCCCAGCCTCAAATTAATTTAAAAATAAAATACATGAGCATAAATTGTTATTTTATGTCTTCTTTCTCAGAAATACACCGATTTGTTAATGTACCTATAATTTCTTAACTCCCTCGGAAAATCTTTTGCTGCACTTTGATACTTAAGAAGAAAACATAGATTAATGGTCACGTGTGTGTAGTCTGACGAATTCTGTGGTATCTTGCGTGATACATTTTATGCGCTTAAAGGTTTCAACTACCCAGTGAAAGGAGTATAAGTAAATTATATCATAGCTCATCCATTTGATGATACAAAACTTTGGATGAATAAACTAACATCTTCTCCATCCATAGTTCAGTCAGTAAAATAATTGTCTTTTAAAGATGCCAGGTGCAAGTACAGTGCGTAAAAAACTGGACATCTTGAATAACTTTTGATCTCATGATCTGATCACGCTCTAGAACGCAATCTTAAAGCTTCAAGAATGTGACCCACGAATATGCTAATTAAGGGTTCAAGAGGGTGACCCTCGAGTATGCTAATTATTAGATATTTTAAACTACAAAATCAATCACAAAACGTATTTTCTCTGAATAAACATACCTCCAAAATATTGCAGGGGTAGCCACGATATGGGAAATATGGTCCTTACAGTTCGGTCAGGAGAGCGATTCAAAGTTTGATCCCCTTAATGTTAATTTTATTTTTTGTGCATTTTGTCTTATTTCAGGAACCTTTTAAGGAAATTGAAATATTTTTACTCACAATTATAAAACTCATTTATCCAATGATAATTCTAAGCAAAAAATAAATTTTAATAAATAATGTATTATTCTTATTATTTTATTTAGTGATAGTAAAGAAAATTGTACAGAAAGGTACGCAATTTTTTACATTATTTTAAAGTATGTAATTTAACATTTCAGAATACAAAATTTGAGTAAAATCGGTCGAATAGTTCCTGAAAAATTGAATTTTAAATAATACAACTAATTTAAAATTCGATTTCTCAGGAACTATTTGACTGATTTCGCCATGTAAAATTAATTACTTTAAAATAATGTAAAAAAATACATACATTACAATTCAAAATTTTTTTAGACTATGATTAAATAAAATAAAAACAATAAATACTTATTAAAATGTATTTTTTGTAATTTACTTTGGATAAATGAGTTTTATAATTGTGTGCAAAATATTTTAATTTGCTTAAAAAGATCTTGAAATATTGAGAAATACGCAAAAAGTAAAATTAAAATTAAGTGATCTAAACTCTGCATTGCTCTCCAGACCAAACTACGTGGACCTTATTTTCTATATTGTGGCTACCCCCTATATTTTGAGGATCAGAAACCCGACTCCATCGAGAAAAACGCATGTTTATTCAGAGAAACGTGAAAATCCCATCATTAGATTAAAAATTATTCTGGGTGGTCCGATTTTTTTTTTTTTTGGGCTCATGTCGTTTTGTAGGTTTTTAAAATTGCAGAAAGAGTTTCTTATTTTGTATATATTAATTGTTAAATGTTGTTAATGAAGAAAAACAAAATTTAACTTTCAGAAAAAATTGTTTTTCGATTCTTTCTTCATATTTACATAATTTGACAGTGTGCACAAACGATAAAATGTATTTTCATAAGACAGTACATACATATATTTTCATAAAACATTGTTTTTATGATTATTACAAATGCATATTACATATGAAGTTCTTGTGGCACATAGGATTTCTTGAATGTGTGTATAGTATTTGATTAACTTTTTATTAACTCTGTTATAAGTATTATAAGTAAAAATAAGTGATAGTATTTTTTATTTAGTAATTTCTGGTAGTAAGAAAAAGTGGTATTTTGAACGCAAACATTTTGCGTACAGTACAAAGTAATACCTAGTTTTCATCTAACTTGCGTAAACATTAAACAACAAATGGAATTTTTACAAAAAAAGAAGCTTTACGTACATGAGTTTAGTTAACATTTTTACAAAACAATTTTATTATAATTTAAAACTGGTAAAGAATGTAGAAGAATATGCCAATTTTTATTTATTTTGCCGAATAAATTTGCTTAAAAAGTTAGCCTTTTTCATTAGTTTAAGAAAATGAAAAGAATTGGTTTAAATTAAAAGGCTAGAATCAGTGGTGCACAGAAAGAAGGGCTGAGGGAACTAAGGTCCTTAATAACCAGGGTGAAGAAATAGTCAAATATGAACTATATTTTAAAACTATCACTAGCATTTTGCTTCGAAATGAAATTTTGTTAATTGTTAAATATTTTGTTCAAAGAAAGCATATTATGAAGAATAAAAAATTTCATTATTTTTAAACAAGATTAATAACGAAGTTTAAGGCGATAAAATACTAAAGATACAAAATTTAAAAAAAATATAGGGATCAGTGCATGCCTTAATTCAAATACTTTTCAAAATTAGGAAAAATCATAAAAAATAATTTTCTATTTTAATTTACATAATAATGAATTAATAATAAAGATTCTGATGATAATAAACATGCATTTTTCTGTTTTAAGTTAGTTAAGTAATGCTTGTAATACCCAGAGTAAAATAGTTTGATGCCTTCTCCATGGACACAAAATGGATAAATTAACACAACTTAGCACCCCATTGGTGGGGGAAAATCATACCCTGCGAAAATCAAATAATTTTGCGTACCGAAAGTGATGATATCAAATTAGTGTTATAAACAAAGTATGACACAAAATTCAAATGAAAAATTGGAGATAAGAACAATAAGATACCTCATAGCCTGTGATGAATGAATTTTTTATTTTTGAATAATATGATGAATAAGGCACCTTAAAGACGCAAGACTACTGTCAGCTGGAGAAAAAGGAAATTTTTTTGTATGGTTGTTATATTAAAGAGTTGGCTGTGTTTTCAAATGGTGCAAGGAGTAAGTTTCTGGAGTTTTTAACAGTAAATAGTAATAAAAAAAGATTTTTTGCTTGAAAAAAATGTATCTATTTTGTAGGGCTGTTATAGTAAAGTTTTGACTCCACTTTTGTATGATGCAAGAAGGAGAAAAAGTTTTAGTTTTTACTATAAATAGTAATGAAGAAGAAAAAAATGAATATGTATCTTTTTACTTTAAAAAAATGTTTCTTTTTTGTATGGTTGTAACAGTAAAGAGTTGACTGTGCTTTAAAATGGAGCCAGGGTAATTTAGAGTTTTAAGAATTTTTACTGTAAAAAATTATAAAAAAGAAAATATGAAAAAGGATCGATTTTCAACAAATTTTTAAAAACTTTAAATGAATATAGAGAATGCGAAAGAGGAAAAAAAAATCTTCCCGCACGAAGTGGCAACATTGAGAAAAACTTGATGTGAAACGTTCTTTATGGGGTGGGGGGTGGGGGGGAGATATGACTTAAAAGAACACCAATAGGAGAAAAAATACGCATGAAAATTTATTGGAAGGAACAAAACGACAAGGCAAGCTTTTAAAATATTTTAGTTTTCCCCTTATTAGTCATAGTGAGTGACAAAAGATCGGAGATCTTTCAAAGGAGGCGTGACTCAGGATGGCCAATCAAAAATATCGTTGAATGTTATTCAATATTTGATTGACAGAATACTCAAAATGCTTGTAGATGACAATAAAAAACAAAGAGAAAAACTTTTGTTGCTAAAACGTGAGATAGAAAGGTTCCGAAATTTAGAATTATAGAAGGCCAATTTTTGATATTGTAGAACACTTAATATAAAAAGTAGTTTTCCTTTTTGATGTCTTAATGTAAAATCTGCCATGCTCGCATTTTAATACATTCCATGTTAACGCAGGGGTTTCGTAAACTTTTAACCAATTTTCGAACCAAGCAATTGTGGATATATGTTTATTTAATAATATGTACTGGTATAGTGGAAGGTTGCTTACCAGGACGCGGTGGTGGGCGGCGTCGAAGTCCTAGAAAGCTTACTCCTTTAGTATATAAACAGCATGTGCCAAATGTATCAGAGTACAGTTTAGCGGCAAGTGGGCCATCTAGTGAAAGAATAGTACGTAATAGTACAGGTTTTAAATTACTAGTACCCAATTATAATGCTGATGTGATTTTCAAGGATGAAGAAGGTACTGGAGCCGATCGACTAATGACGCAAGTAAGTTTTGTATATGAACATTTTATTATACAAAGTATTTTAAAAGCATTCTTTAAAAAAAATTCTAATGAACATTTGATAGTTAAAATAGTTATAGAATTAGTAAAAAATGGAAGAAATTTATTTCAATGTACTGAATGAGAGAATTTTTTTAGCTTCGGAAAGATGTTTTTCCATTTTTAAATTTTGTAAAAAATATATTGCAATAAAAGTTAATAAAGTAATTTTTAATTTTCTTAAAGAAATATCAAATAAAAATTAATTCAACACTCAATTCGATGCAACACTCAATTCGACGCTTTGTATAGTGTATCATTGATTAAGGGTTAGTAATCAAGACTTTTGCTAATTTTAAATATCTGAAACAGGCTTGTAGAATATTCATTAAAACAACAAAAATAAATTCTACAGTGTAAGAAATCCGTTCAGTGGATTATGTTGAGTTTACCAAGTTTATTTTCGAGATACAGCTATATACTGCAGATCTACAAACATTTTTCATGCTAAAAATGTCCACATTTAATTTATTAAATTTGAGATAGGCAACAAAAATCGAAAAAGCAATATTTTTTTTTACAGAAAATTTCTTTATAATTTGATATAATTTAAGTTACGTTTAATAATTAGAACATCCACAAATGATACCACAGCCTACGGGATTAATCTTATAGCAATTAAAGTCACTTCTAAAATCTTATTTAAACATCAAGAACGAGTTTATAAAGCATGAAAAGTAATAATTAAAGTTTATTTATTTCGTGAAATTTTTACGTCTTTAATTTTTATTTTTGAAAAACAGCCATGCATTGAATTATTAAGAATCCATATCAAACTGCGGAATTTGGTCAAGGAGTTGAAATTTTGCTTTGCACTCAACGTGTTCAAAGCTACTTTTTAAAACCATTGAAAAGGAAATAAATAACTATTAAACACGTTTCTACAAAATCTGAAAAATTTCATAAGTAATATTTAAAAAATACTCCAATGTTATACGAATATTTTCTAAGAAATAATGTAAATTTACTGTGGACAATATGCTTTGGCTATATGCTTTGCAATAAAAAATTTCAAGTTTTTAATTTTAAATTAAAAACTGCGGATGTATAATTTCAATAGGATACTCATGTTTTATTTTATATTCTCATATTTTATTCAGGATATTCCTATTTTTCAAAAACACCTAAAATAAGCAAATTTTTCTCTGTGCCACTTGGTTAGGTTTATGTAGAGATTATGTTATGTATGAAATTTTGATTGCTTTAACATGGTCTGTTTTTTATTTATATATTTTTTAAACCGACCATCCAAAATCAAGTATTTTATAATGAATTATTAAATATGTCAACCTACTTTGTCCTAAAATATTTTCGGGTTATTCGAAAAATTATATGAAGTTAAATGTAAGAAAGAAAAGGTTTTATGCTTTTCTGTATCGATATATTAAATAATTGTTATAGTTGTTACCGCTTAAGTGTGGAAATAAATTATTATACAGAGTATCCGGATGATGTGCAGATTAACTAGGATGATCCATTTAAATATTAAAAAATTGTTTTATTTGTAAAATTACCCACTAGGCTAGGAAAGGGGAAATAAGATATTTGCTGGAACAACAGCAAAATTTCTGTACGCTCTAATTATCATAATGATATTTATTTTTTGCTATTTACAAGTTACTACAATCAACTAATCAACCCATTAGCTGATAGAATATCAATAATCAATTACTTTAAAAACAATAAAAAAATTATACAACTCAAAATATTATTACAATTAAGGAGATGAATATAATGCCATTTATTTATTTCAAAATATCTAATAAATCAAGTCAATAAATATAATCAAACGATTATTACATCAGAGACATTTTTGAACTTTTATGATATGGAAACCGTTAAGGCGCACTTTACCTAGGTAATAGAAAACTTTAAAGAAGAAAACAATGAAAATAATGAGAAATATAACAATAACATCCGAAGCTGACGTCGTCAGAGGGTGCCATCTCCCAAAGTCATAAAAACAAAAGCTTTTCTTTTAATAGAACACGACAAATGTCTAAAATTTGCTCTCTCTGTACCCCAAAGGTTTTGCAAGAAGTCCAAGAAGAGAGAAAAAGAGAATACAAAAGCAAAATACGTAAGTAAAATTCATAAACTAATTACAAAAGGAAAACAACGTTCAAAAAATCTACTTAGAAATATTCCACAGTTAAGCCCAAGCACACTACTTTCTAAGGATTTTCAGAAAGTAGTATGCTTTGGTTTAACTATGGAATATTTTCAAGTAGGTTTTTAGAAAATTGTTTTCCTTTTTTTATTAGTTTATGTATTTTACTTTTGTATTTTGGTTTTGTATTCTCTCTTCCTGGACTTTTTTCAAAACCTTTGGGGTACAGAGAGAGCAAATTTTGGACATTTGTCGTGCTCTCTCGGTAGAAAAGGTTTGTGTTTTTATGACTTTCGGAGATGGCACCCTCTGACGACGTCAACTTCGGATGTCATTATTATATTTTTTATTATTTTTATTGTTTTCTTCTTTAAAATTTTCTATTGATTTCAATTTTTGTTACTGAATTTCTGCTGCATTGCGCAACTTTTCCTTGGAATTGTAGTATTTAACTGCTTTATACATGATATTTGATTTCTCATTTTATTACCTAGGTAAATTACCTTTTAACGGATTACCCTAGTTAATCTGCTGATTAATTAAGCAATGTGCATATTAACGGCTTTTGAACTTTAGTGGAAATATATAAGAGTTAATTTAGTATTGTTGCTCATGTTCTAAATACACTAAAATGTTTCTGCTTAATTTTAAAAAAAATTCTTAACATTTAAGTTGCAAAAAAGCTATTTATTATTTGCTTTAATTACTTATTTATATATTCTTATAAGGATTTTAGTAGAAATTTTTAACAATGCAATCATGCACAGAGTCAAGGGGAAAGTAACCTGGAAGTCTGTCGAATCAATAAGTTGAGTGAGGAGTGTCTTGGCCAACTTTATTTAAGACAGGGTAGAAAAAAGAAATCAAGCAATTCACGACGACTTTCTTATTAAAAAACATATCAAGAAAGGAGAAGTTATCATTAAAATTGCTGCACAAACATTAAAAAGCTTCATTTGCAATCACAAATTAATTAAGTGCAGCGAAAAGAGTGAAAAGCTTATTTACACTTTAATTTAAATTTAATAAAAAATTTGAAAATTTTCTTAGCTCCAGAACACGAAAAAATTTATATTTTATAGGAATTCCTAAGCATGCTTATTGGTTTCAAACAAAAAAACTCTTAAAATTATTAAGTTGATTTAAAAGGAAGGTTTACTACAGAATTTTAAAGCAAGAAGACAAGTAGTTTATTTTTTGCTGATACTAGTGTTTTATTTTCACTGAAAATAAACAAATCTATGCTAAAATTTTCTAATTAAGGAACATAATGAACTGTGATTACTTTCCTTTTAAATATAATTAAAATTTGGAAGAAATTTTTTTTTAAAAATGTTAATAACTTCTAATAACGTTTACTAATTAGCTTTGCATTTTTCTAAAAGTTTAATAGAAAATTGAGCAAACAAGAAAAAAAAACAATGATTATAGTTAGTATGATTTGATTATAGTTAGTAATGTAAATATAGTTATCCCTTGACATTTATTTAAAATAAACAATGCTGATTTGCTTTGAAAGAGGTTTTTAGGTTCTTCAGAAAATTTTCTTACATTTGTTCTTGCGTTTTCCCCGACAAAATAAGACTTAAATATTTAATTTTGCAAACATTAAAGCAATAAGGAAAAAGTAAGATTTAATTCTTATTACTTGAAGCAGAAACTCTTGTGCGCTTCAGATTTAATATTTATTGTCAATGTTAAAGTAAGTACTTATAGCAGATATGATTAAAACAATAGGAGAGAAAGTTTGTACCTTGGACGGATATACCTTGATCCAGTATAAATATTTGCCCAATCTAATAGAAGAGTTTTGCACTCAGATTATGTCCTCTAACGGCAGATACTATCTGCTGAATTGGTCACTATTTCAGGTGCAGGTATGATCTAGAATTGTTTTCAATTTTCTAGTTGGAATAATTTGTTTTAATATTTTGACTTGAAAATAAAACCCTGTGAATCTAACATTTAACACCAGAACTAAGATCGATAAGTACCAAATTGCAATTATCTTTAAGATGAAATTTCTTTGTTAAGTCTAGAAAGATGAAAAAAAGTAAGAATGTTGTACCTTTAACTAGTCTTTGTTTTGCACTTTGGAAGGCATGTGCAAGAGGTAAACTAGCACAATCACCTTGTGGAATAAACTCACTTAAAATGAAACAGTTAAAATAACTTAACTTGGGTTAAATTTTACTCATTTGTTTGGATATAAGGAGACTTTTTAACTTTAGTTAATTTCACTAAAAACCTACTAAAAAAAACTCAATTTTGAGTACATAATTTTAACTGGAACTTGGGTGAATTTCAATAATTTTTGAAATTTTTCAATGTAACAAATTTTAAAAATATTCCAATAAAATTATCTTTATTTATTACGTTTATGAACAATTTGATTTGTTATAGCTTAAGCAGGCTACAAGAATAGAAGTTTTTAATAGCACGGATAAACAATATCAATCAACTAACAGGTTTAAGAGAAAAGAAATAAAAATGAGTGTTATGCCAAGAGATTATATTATCCAATGATTCAAGTTGCAACATGTTTTACATTGGACCGATTTTATTTACTTAAATATTTTAAGAAATATTTTTTCTTGAATTGTTTTACAGAATTATTTTAAAAAGTATATTACATAAATACAATTACAATTATTTTACATAAATAAACAATCGTAAAATGCATTTATAACAAAATTTTCTAAGTTATTTAAATTACTATTTTCGGGGAAAAATAGCCCTCTTCTAGTCGTAAGCCAATTCAGACTTTTTCTCATATTTCTCGAAAGTATTTGCAGGAAAAATGGGTTAAAAATGCATATAACCCCTAAACAATA